TCCTGGGATCGAGCCCCACATCCGGCTCCTTACTCAGCGGGAAGCCTGCTCTCCCTCTCCCACTCCCGCTGCTTGTGTTCCTGCTCTCGCTATCTCTCTCTCTGTCAAATAAATAAATAAAATCTTTAAAAAAAAAAAAAAAGATCTTCTTAAACTCTTTTTGTCTTTAGGGTATATGCCACTAAGGATGTTCAGTCAATTTATTATATCTTAAAGTTACGTGGAATAATTTCTCTTGGAATAGTTATGCCATCAATTTGACCTTTGTTTTCATTTTGTTTTTCATTTCTGGGAATTGCTTTTAAAATTTTTAGTTTTGTTTTAAAATTATGTAAGATATTTGTAAAATTAGGTATATTCAAAGAACTCTGGTGTTCTGTCCTTGTCTCCTAACTCCTCTATAGGTAACTATTAAAAAAAAATGTTCATGGCTTAGTCTTCCTTTGTCTGCTTTTAAGTATAAGCAGATGCTTATGTTCCAACACTTTTTCTTTTACATATATATGTACATATATATGGGATTCTGGGAACATGACCTGAGCTGAAGGCAGCTGCTTAACCGACTGAGCCACCCAGGTACCACAAAACCCCAGCCTCTTAAATACAGAGAACAAATTGGTAGTTGCCAGGGGGATGGGTGAAAAAGATAAAGGAAATTAAGAATACACTTACCTTGATGAGCACTGAGTATGTATGGAAGTGTTGAATCATTATATTATACACTTGAAACTAATTTAACACATATGTTAATTATACTTGAGTAAAAAAAAGAAATAGCAGAAATATACTTGAATAGAAAAAAGAATAGCATTGATAGATAGATAGATAGATAGATAGACATTTGACTTTCATCTACTTCCCTAAAAATTGGTTTATTCAAGTTGTCCTCAAAAACTTTTCTGAGCGGTGCCTGGGTGGCTCAGTCGGTTGAGCATCTGCCTTCAGCTCAGGTCATGATCCTGGGGTCCTGGGATAGAGCCCCATGACATTGGGGTCGTCGGGCTCCCTGCTCAGTGGGGAGCCTGCTTCTCCCTCTCCCTCTGCCTGCCGCTCCCCCTGTTTGTGCTCGCTGTCTTTCTCTTTCTCTCTCAAATAAATAAAACAAAATCTTTAAAAAAAATGTTCTTGAATCTTCTCATTAGGAAAATGCAGTTCAGGGTTACCTTATTTGGGGACATGGATGATAACTGGAAAGGAAAAGAGTAAAATTAGGACAGTAAGCTGGAAATTTGAGCAGGATCTAGAAGATAATCTGGACTTGGCAGAGAGTTGGGGATGGGGCACATTAGACGACAGGACATGTGAGCAAAGGCATGAAAGTGGGAACGTGCACAATGCTCATGGGATCAGTGAAGTTGGCTGGAGCTGCAGATTTGATAAGAGAAATAGATTGGCAGGAAAATCAGTTCACATTTTTTTTGAAATAATTCAGGGTCTTGATAAGGTAGGTGCCATTATATTCATTATTTTACCAAAGAATTATTGAGTACCTACTATGTGAAAAGTCTGTGTAGGATGCTGGGGAAACAGTGGTGAGGAAGACACACAGGGTCCCTCCCTTGAGCAGAGACATTTCATTACGAAGGAGAAGTACAGTGTGCTGTGAAGGCATATTAATGGGGGGACCTAGCTTAGTTCAGATGAGAGGTAGTCAGGGAAGCCTTTCAAGGAAGTGCATGGAGGCTGAGATCTGCGGGATGATGAATAAGTATTGGCTGTTGGTGGTGGAGGTGAGGATAGCAGGGAGAAACTTATAGTTCAGGGAGGGAGAAACACTCAAGGAAGAAAGTAAGTGTGGTTCCAGAACTGAAAACATGTCCAGTATGACCTAAAGGGCTGGAGAGTGTGGCCTAGAGTAGATGAGACATGAGAGTGGATTCAAGAAAAATTGCAAAGGAGGACTTGATAAGAAAAGGGAGAAAACAATTTCCCTGAAGACATATAATAGACACTCAGTATACATGGAATGGATAAGTCAATACATTTGAAATTTCAAATGTGGACTAAGAAACAATGGTGCCATGGGTGAGTGTAAGTAAATGAGCACAGGGTGCTAGTTTTGGAAAGATTAGTTTGGTTTTAGTCCTGTGGATCTTGTGGTCAACATCCCAATGGTTTGTCAAATACTGAGTCAACAGTTTCAGGCTACTGTTGAGATTGTAAGACTCAAGGGAGGGAAACAAAAGGTAGAGTGCTCCTGCTTGGGAATTATGGTTAGAGGAAGAAGCTGAGCCTTAGGTTGAGAGGGAGGAGACTTGATCAGAGAAGCAGGATGGAGAATTTCAAGGACAAGAGGCTCAAACACTGTAGAGAGGTCAAGGAGACCAATTTACAATAAATGAAATGATGTGGTTGACACCACTTACAAAATGCAGGGCTATTATCCACTTGTACAGGTGGAGTGGGGAGTTGGAAAAGGCATGAGATCTGTAGTCACAAGACCTGAGTTCAGTCCCACCTCTGCCTTTTACCACATTTGTGCCCTTGACCAATAATTACTTCATTTTCTCTGACTCTCAGGCTGCTCTTTTATAAAATGAGAAAGAGAATGGCTGTCACGTTTGTGTCTCAAAGTTATTGTGAGGTTCAAATGAAAAACATATGTAAACCATCATGCTTTCTCCCCCAAGGGTTGCAAAAAGGGTCGGGCATATAGGTGGGACTTAAATGAATGTTTGAATGAATGTATGCATATTACTATGGCTACTTCTTTTTGTTTCAACAGAGACCAGATGAAGAGGCTGTGGTGGATCAGGGTGGGACCAGTACAATTCTCAACATTCACTATGAGAAAGAGGAGTTGGAAGGTAAGAATTGTAGTTTTGTGTGTGTGTTGGGGGGCGGGGAGAATTAATGAGAGGCAGCCTGGTGTGGGAGGAGAGCTTTGCCATCAGGAGGCTTGGGTTTAAGTCCTCTAATTCTTTCTCACTAGCTGCAAGACCTAGTGGGGGTAAAATCACTTCATTTCCCTTAGGCTCTATGTCCTCATCTGTTAAATAAAAGTAGGGATATTAATACAGAGAACAAACTGGTGGTTGCCAGAGGGGAGAGAGGTGGGGGGAAAATGGGTGAAATGGATAAAGGGGATTAAGAGGTACAAACTTCTAGTTATAAAATAAATAAGGCATGGAGATGAAAAGTACAGCATAGGGAATAGAGTCAATAATATCGTAATAATGTTGTTTGGTGACAGATGTGAGTACACTTACCATGATGAGCACTGAGTAATGCATAGAATTGTTAAATAATCATGTTGTACACCTGAACTGAGCACAGCATTGATATTAATTATAATTCAATTTAAAAACTAGGGATATTAATACCTTACTATTAGGATCCACTAACATGTGAGACAGTGCTCTGAGCACTGTGAAGTCTAATATAAATATTAATAAATGATCTATTCCTTGAGAATGTAAAGTACTCAGATCAGTTTGTCAATTCTTGGCAACTGCCTACAAATATAAATGTAAATATATACACAATTTTAAAAGAAAATAAAATACAAATAGTTTTTAAAATTTAGTTTGGTTATATTATTCAGTTGTTTGGTTATATTATTCAGTTTGCCCCATCTCCAATATTTGCTCTTCCATTCTAATTATACCCATTTCTGCCTGGTGTTTTCATCTAAACAAGACAAGAGAAAACATACACCCCTGTAACATATTCTTTAAGAATTCATAGCACAGAGTTGTATTTAAAAAACACCCAGCTAGGAGCGCCTGGGTGGCTCAGTCGTTAAGCATCTGCCTTCGGCTCAGGTCATGATCCCAGGGTCCTGGGATCGAGCCCTGCATTGGGCTCCCGGCTCTGCGGGAAGGCTGCTTCTCCCTCTCCCACTCCCCCTGCTTCTGTTCCCTCTCTCACTGTCTCTCTCTCTGACAAATAAATAAAATCTTTAAACAACAACAAAAAACCAACCCCCTCCCCGAAAAAAAACCCACCCAGCTAAAGTGGAAGGGAGAGAAGAGTCATTCTTATTGATCTGCTTTGTCTAGGTTCCCTTAACTTTCTTTTTCCCCTGTCCCACCCCTGGGTCCCCACATGACCGTTGGTGGTGTCCTTCTGCTTTCCTTTCTTTGTAGGGTGGTTTCCTGATAAGTGGTGATGCTCAGTTTTATGAGAGAAAGGCTCGTGTCCAGTATAGCTTTAATGAGAACCCACATTTGGCTCAGAAGCCTTTGTGAAATCTCTGCAACATCCCCTGCAATGTTGAAGGCTATGATACAGCACCTTTCTAATGACTGAGACAGCATGTAAAACGTTCTCTCTGTACTACTTGTTCCCATGACGTTTTTTTCATCAAAGTTGTATAATCTTCAGAGAAAACTTGTCCTTTGGTTGGGGAGAGTGAAAGCTGTAGAGGTTGACTCAGCCTCTGGGTCTGTTACCATGAGAACTTATGTGGGTGGCTTCTGGAGGTCAGCGGAGTTTGGATATATCAAGGTCAAGTTTTCCAAGTTATTCTGACCAGATGCAAGAAGAGCCAGTGTGGGTTTCAGCAACTGGGAGAAAGTGGAGAAGGAAAGGGTGTGGAGGTGGGGAGGCTAACATTTGTTGACTGCCCTCTGTGTGTTAGGCATTGGATTAGGCATTTCGGACAAGTTGTCTTTTTTTTTTTTTTTGTAATGGACAAGTTGTCTTTTTCATCTTCCCAGCAGCCCAGGCGGTAGGTATCATCCGTATTTTACATGTGGAGAAATAGGGTCATTTAGCCTAACAGCAGGTGAGACTGGGATGGAATTCTGCTCTTTCTATTCAACTACACTGCCTGCAAGGGAGGACAGTCCTCGGCATTAACCACCCAACCTCAACTTCTGGCTCCATCACATAAACATTTGTATATGATATAAACATCATATGAATATCATGTTGCCCTACCCCTCCTTCTGCCCTGACAATCCTGTTGCCTCTCTATTCTCTTACTGCACCCTGAGGACACTGTTGTTCTCGGTTTAGTTGTCTGGGCCCACTAGACCTTTGCCCTCAGCAAGGAGGTAACCACCTATGAACACTCTTGTCTGCTTGGGAGTAGAATCATAAACACGGGCAAACTCGGATCCTGAGGACTGGGTTCCATCCACAGAGGTCAGCTGAGCAATTGGTAGTCGGAGCATCTTTTCAAGATGACATCATCTATTCTTCATGCCCTCACCATTTTGCTATAAAAGAAAGCTATACATGATGTCCTCTGTAGGGGACAGTGTCTTGGGAAGTGGTCCTTTATACAGAGAGCTTTTTGAAAACCAGCATCTTATTTAGGTTAGCACTTTTTAAATAAAGCACATTTGGCACATGGAGGGCAAATGGTGCCCACTTCTCAGGCCTGATGTGGTTCTAGAGCAGCACCGGAGAAGAGAAGAGGGAGTTGGGATTTGCTGTAGGATTGGTCATGCTGGGGGCTCTACCCTGACTCACTGTGAGGGAGGCCCTAGGACTCAGACTGCATCTAGGGTAGTGTCATTTCTTGAAGGCATGAAATAAAGTCAGTCCCACTTTGATAGAAGACAGAAGTAAATTATATTCTGATTCAAAGTGTATGCCATGATACAGGGTTCTGTGGCTGTGGATAAATCTCTGGGTCTTCCTTCCCCTTTATTCCATACCCTCTGCTCCACATAACATAACCCATCCCCCCTTTCAGAACTACTTCAGAGATTTAGTCTCTGGACATTTGTTACAGACTTTTGTAAACGTGGGTCTTTTTGCGTAAGTTAATTCCATCAGTAGGAGAAGGTGCAGTAAACCATGACATTGCTTCTTTTTATGTATGAGAGGAGTCCAAAGCAAGTATTAGAACAGATTTCCAAAGATAAACTCACAAAGAGCAATAGTCCGTGATGTGCTTCAGTGGACTCTCCTGCTCCCAGAAGGACATGGAACAGTTGCTTTAGTTACAGAACTGTTTTTTTCCATTTTTTCTGGCAGATCATTATTCCTGATTAACTATTAGACTTAAAAATCCTGGACTAGGTTTAGTGCCTTCTAATAAGTTTTTAACAGAGGTAAGAGCCTTTTGATCCTATTTTTAAGTTATAAAAAAAAAGGCTTGCATCTGCTCCGCATGTTAGATTCCCCCCTCCAGTTATTGACTTTGAGTCGGACCTGTAGCCCAGGGGGGTGGAATAATTTTCAGTATGTGCTAGTGAGTTCTGCGTGTGTACTGGGTAAACAGTGTTTATGACATGCACTCTTATGTCGGTAGGCCCAGTCTTTATCTGCAAGGTAGGTCACAGCTGTGATTTCTGTCCTGCTCCACAAGATTCAGCCCCAGTTCACTAATGGTTGCTCCCCGTATGTGTATACTTACTTATTTTTAAAAATATATACTAACGTTACATCTCTCCCATTAAGTTTTACTGAATGAATACTTGTATTTGCACACAGATAGCTCCCAAAGCATAGGTTTGACAATGACTGGAAAGAAAGAATGGGGAATTAGATGGGGAGAAGGCGGAGTCCGGGTGAGTTGGTAAGTAGATGAGGGGGAAGAAGACTTCGGGTAGGAGAGCAGCTAAGTGACCACAGGATGAGTTTAGTGAAGTCACAGACTGCCACAATCCAGTTAAATGGACTAGATTTTATTGATGCCATATTCGTTTTCTGGTGCCCATTTGTTTGTCATCTTTTCTGCTGATTTCACTCAGAAAATCCAAGTCCCTGCTTCAGAGTCCTCAGCTTAGAAACTGAGGTCTAATTTTCTGACAGCCACTTTGATCCTTCTTAGCTCTGACCCCGGCTGGGGCTTGTTTTCATTTCTGCCTGTCTTCAACATTTTCAAAAGGCAGGCACTGTGGTTGGTTAGTGTTTGGGAGAACTGATTGGACCAAAAAAATTCTTAAAGTAAAAGAGTCTTCCTTCCCTAAGATTTAAGCTTTACCTTACTTCCTACAGAGGCTCCTGAAGGATGTCTTCCCCATTATCCTCAAACTTGCCTAGTGGGAATTTTAGATATCAGGCAAAATCATACATCATTCGCTCAACAAATATTTATTGAGCCCCTGCTATAGCCTTTTTGCAGCAATAAGTAAGAATAGTGGGAACAATCCAACCGTCTTGTCTTCTCCAAAGAATGACCTTTCCTGAGCCTTTCCTAAGTTTGTACATAGAACCTGGACTAGATGTGAGAAGTCATTTGGTTCAAACTCCTTGTTTTACTTTAATAGTGACAGCGAGCAAATTAAGAAAATGAGATCTAACAACACAGGTTCTAATACTTAATCACTACCCCTCAATTTCTATTTAGGATATACTTAAAATTACATAATATTAGCAATATACCAACAAAAGCCCAGTGGAAGTATTTGAAATGTACTTAAGAAGAAGTAGAGGTCCTAGCCTGGCCAATAACCCTCTGGAGGATTTGTTGGGAAGAGGAAGCTCATGGCTCTATTGAGGGATGGAAAGTCACCCCTTGGTGAGGCTTTTCTTCACCTAAGTCTAAGCTCTACCTAGAACCACTGATTTTACAACACCTAGGTCTCTATTTTAGGGGCTGGTTGAAGTGGTTCTGTGGGATCTAATTATGCTTTTCACTGTCCATGGGTTCTTCATGATCTGCCCCTGCCTGTCTTTTTGACCTTTCCCCCCTCCTCTTCTTTCCTCTTTTACTTTGCTCTGGCCCCACTGGCCGCCCTTTTGCTTTGGAACACGCACATTCCCACTGTAAAGCCTATGCATTGATCTTGCCTTGTCCTGGAATGCTCTTCTCATGGTCTCTCCTCATCACTCAGATGTTGCCTCTAATCATTTTAGCTAGTTTCCCTTAGGTCAGATTGTAGACTCCTGAGGACGTTCGAAGGGGTTATGTTCCTGAGGGAGGCTCTTAGGGGATGTTCCATTTTCTGAACATTTGTGGGACAACGACTATATGTAAAACACTGTGCTTTGTTATGTGAGGGATTCCAAGAGAAATGGCCTGGGACCTTGAGAAGCTTGCAGATGAATAGTGGGAGGTATTAATTCTAGTGCAAGGCATAAAATAAGTACGTAAGAGAAAGCTAGCCAAGGGCTCTGAGGATTTAGAGGTAGGAAGGCAGCACATTTGATTGGGGAGATCAGAGATCATACCAAGAAGGAATGTGCGTTGCCATGAATCTTGTGGGAGCTAGCCAAGTCCGTGTCTGGAAGGCACTGGCACATTTGTGGAATGGCGGGTTGGTTCATGTAGAGGAAAGAACGTGAGATGACGGTGGGTGCAGCAGCTGAGGCTGTGGGGAGGAGACAGAGTTGCTGGGGTGGACGCAGAAGGTGTACATCTCCAGATTTCCCTCTGCCCCCGGAATGTTTAATTGGTGTGAGCACGTGTGAGATTTCCACTTCAGTCTTGCTCGAGCTGAGTGCTCAGTCCTTTTAGAGGCCCTCCCCTTAATTTTCCTATTGAATGTGCAGTTTGTCCTAGCAAAGAAAAGACTAGAAAGGAGGCTGAGGCCTGAGCATGCTGGAGCATGAAGGGTCCTGACTGCACAGACGTGAGCTGTGATCAGAGCAGTGCTTCAGGAGGATTCGTTTGTAGGACTGAGCTGGTGTGGGAGGCAGGAAAGAAGCTCCTGCTATTGTCAAAGTGAGGGGAGAGAAATCCTTGACATCCCTAATCTGTAGGATGTAGCACTGAGGGGCATTGGGAGAGGTGGAAATCTAAGGTAACTCTGAGTTTTCAGGCCTGGAAAGTTGAGAGAATGGTGATGCCATGAACAGAAACATGGAAGAAATGGGTATGAACTGGATCTGAGATGGAGGATGATGACTTTGCTTTGGGAGATGTTGAATCACTGTAGATAAAGATTTGGGGGTCATTTGTAGAAGTAAACTTTCAAATCATGAGAGTAGATACCAATAAAAAAAGAGAAGGGCCCAGGACCAAAACCCTGGGAGCTTTCCTTTGGTGGATTGTGGAAGGGATAGAGAAGCCAAGTCAGAAGAGTGTAGATGACCAAGGGAGGGCAGGGGTATAGGAGCTAAGGGACCCTGGACCACCAATGGGAGGAAGTAGTCCAGGGATTTGGACACTGCCTGGCACTTGGTGGGCTCTCAGGAAAGGCTTTGAAGTTGAACTGAGAGACATAAGATGATAGAGATTTGGTGACTAAGTGGTTCCTAATGAGGACACTCTCAGTGGGAAGTAGCCACATGCAGAGGCTATGGAACAAGGAGATGGTGAAGAACAGAAGCTAGGTGGGTAGATTGTTCTTGAAAGTGGTTTGGTGGAGAAGGAGAACGGACAGGTAGAAGCTTAGAGCACTATATTGGAAAGTTTCTTTTTAAGAGAGATGTGGGGCACCTGGCTGGCTCAGTTGGTAGAGCATGTGAATCTTTGATCTCAGGGTCATGAGTTTGAGCCCCACGTTGGGCCTAGAGCTTACTTAAAAAAAAAAAAGGTAGAGAGATTTGTAATCAGGAGAAAGCGTGGAAGGGATGGATGGAAAAGAGAGACTGAGGCTAGCTGATGGAAGAGGAAGCCATACTCATTAGCCTGGCAAAGAGGGGCAGCTGGGGGAGGAAAGCAAGCCAGGCTGAGATGCAGGGAGGCCACATGAGACTGCCTAAGTCTTCTTAGTAAAATATGAAGTGAGGTCACCTGCTCAGAGGGAGGAAGTGTGGCTCAGGTTGTGGATTTGAGGACAGTGACCGAAGACTGGAACACATCTATGGTGGAAGAAGTGGGGAGTCAGCCTGAGACCTAGAGCGCTAGCAGCAGGAACTGGGCAGCAGTGGGAGAAGACTAAGGCTCTGTGCATCAGGGTGGTAGCAGCCCTGAAGGTACTGATTCTGGGCTTCAGGCTGGCAGCAAGGCAAGGGAAGCCAGGTGGAGGTGAGAGAGAAGCCTGGCAGTCATGAGCAGCACGAAATAAGGCTTCTAGAAGGAACAAATGAGTAGAAAAAGCGGAATTGGACAGAACACTCTTGGATCACTTATTTTCCCACATTCTTCCTCTTCTTGTACATTTACTATCTCTCCCTGTAACCCCAGACTCACGTTTCTTATGATTTGTAACTAGTCTCTCACTACTATTCTAGATTGCGTATTCTACAGTGCAGAAGGAAAAGTAGCGGAAACTGGTCCTAGAATGCAGTGGCTGCTAAAAGTTATTCCGGGCATTGTGTTAAGGATTTTACATACATTACCTTATGTACTGCTCATGAAAACCCTCTGAGTTTAAATAATAAGCTTTTGGTATTATGTTTTAAAGACAGAGAGAGATTAGCTAACTTGTTCAAGGTCACATGGTTAGTGAATGGTGAGGTCAAGTTTCGGACCCGGACAGGTTGACCTGAGCATTTAGCCACTTCTCTAAACTGCCTCCCTGCCAGGACTTGTTACAGTTGGCACAGTGACCATATTGCTTTTTTTCAATTGCTCAAGTTGTCGCAATAACGACTAGAATCCTTATTGGTCTTCATGGTTTGCAAATCAAGTTCATGCACATTACTTCTTTTGATCTTAACACTCCTGTGAGGTTTGCAGCCACGTGCAGTGGGGAGGGAGTGCGTCAGCTCCAAGATCTCTACGTCTTTAGTCTTTGAAGTTTTGCCATTACAGAGTTGTGACCCGGCCAGAGAGCTATGATTTTTTTCTCTCTTAAATATGCTCGATTCCTTTTATTAAAGGCATTCTTTGGGGTACCTGGCTGGCTCAGTCGGAAGAGTATGACATTAGCCTCTTGATCTCGGGATCCTGAGTTTGAGCCCCAAATTGAATGTAGAGATTACTAAAAATCAATAAAAACTTTTAAAATAAAATAAAATAAAATGAAAAATAAAGGCATTCTCTGCACAGACCTTCTGCTTCGTTCTAGGTCATAGAACTCTGTATGTGGGGGTGCGGATGCCCCTGGGCCGGCAGAGCCACCGCCATCACCGAACGCATGGCCAGAAGCACCGCAGGCGAGGGCGGGGCAAAGGAGCCAGCCAGGGGGAGGAAGGCCCAGAGGCCCTGGCCCACGGTAACATTCTTGGGAGGCAGGGCGGAGATCCATGGCTGGGACCTTGGTGAGGCTGAGGGAATGTGTGTGATGGACATCAAGTAGGTGGTCTTGATTCTCTAGCCCTTTTGTAGAGTTCTCAGGGCTTGCTTCCAAGAAGAAGGAATGCCTCTAAGAATCAAAAGTATCTTTCTGGAAAAACTCATAGTTTGGGCTTCCCAAATCAATTACCATGTAGGCTGAAATCATTTGCCAGAAAATTAACCATTCTTTTTGATCAGATTAATCTGATTTCCGGTTTGTTGTGGGCTTTCTTTAAGTGGTCTTAGTTCATAATTTTTTCCTCCCACTAATTGCTTCCATAGAAGAGGAATTTTTTTGGGGGGGGAGGAAAATAAAGAAATCTTTTTCCTCGACATTCAGGATTGTTTTCTCTATGTTCCTAAAGTTATAAGGCCCCCAGATGTGCTAAGTATAGCAGAATACTATTTCTGTTCTAAGTTGAGGCTGGGAGCAGACCTTTCTCTGTGGTTGATTTTCTAGACACACCATCTCAGCGTGTTCAGTTCATTCTTGGCACTGAGGAAGATGAAGAGCATGTGCCTCATGAGCTGTTCACAGAGCTGGATGAGATCTGTATGAAAGAGGGAGAAGATGCTGAGTGGAAGGAGACAGCTAGGTAAGGCCCTAAAATATCCTGGGTCACGATTTGCTTGGGTAGGCAAACGTGTTTCTTTCGACAAGTGACAGGTCTGCTTGCCTTTTATTTCTTCATGGGAGAAGTGATGACTGACATGGGGACTGATGTTCCAGAGTCTTCTATGGGAAGTCTTGATTTCGGCCTCTTTGTGATGTCTCTGGTGACACCTATACCAATTGACCTTGATCCTGGGATTGGTGACAGAAACACAGAACATTTAGGGAGTCCTCTCATTTATTTAGGGCCCAGAGTTGCTCATGGGCTATCTTGATATTATAGGTCTGGCTTAGAAGATGCCTGATGGGGCCACCTTGGTTTGGACCCAAGCAACCAAGTGTAGGTGAACACAGGATAGGTGAAGACTTTTCTGAAGGTGAACTATAGTGTCTTAATTCATTTGGGTTTTGATTCGCTAGATGTTTCATAATTTTTGAGATGTCCTATGGGACAGCCCAACCTCATGGAGACCAGTGGGATTATAGCTAGCCTGATGGTAGGCTTCCTGGGGGTAGCTGTAGAGTGACAACGCTTGCCTAAGGCTCAAACCCCAGAAGAGCCCTCAGATTAACCAGAACCATGTCTGGGCTCCTCTAGTAATTGACCAGTGAACCTTATGGGTGATAGAAAGCCAGAATGCCTGAGCTTCAGGGAAGAAGGCAAGGTGGGTAACCAGCAAAGTGTGACTCTAACTTTCACTGGAACAGCTCTTCCTGGATCCTTGCTATATCCTTGAATATTCGTTTGCCATGGGTGGAGAGGATTAGGCAAGCCAATCACCCTGATACCAAGTGAAAAGGCAATTAGTCTTTGCCAACTTGTAAATGTCACATACAGACTTTTTAAAAAAGAAAAATATTACCATTTTGTTAATCTATCCAAATGATATCGATTAGATCTATCTTTTTAATTGCACAAGTAATATGTGCTCCTTATATGAAATCAGAAAAGAAAGATAAGCAAAAAGAAGATGAAAATTATGTATAAATCTACTACCTCAAGGATAATGAGGAAGACACCATTTGGTGTCTTATACATGTGTGTTTGCAGTTTTAAAATTTTCTTTAAATAGAAATGGGATCAAACTGTACTTAAGTTTGCGCTGTTTTATAACCTGCTTTTTTCACTTATCAGTGTACCCTGAAAGTATAGATGAAATTATAATGTTCAATATGATTATTCAGGTATCTTTCATTGTGGCTTACATTAAAGACTCTCTCTCGTGAAAATTACTCATTTTCTACCTTTGGCATCCAGTTGTTTGTAATGCTTTCAGGTGGCTGAAGTTTGAAGAGGATGTTGAGGATGGGGGTGAACGCTGGAGCAAGCCTTATGTGGCAACCCTTTCACTGCACAGTCTCTTTGAGCTAAGGAGCTGCCTTATTAATGGAACAGTCCTTCTGGATATGCGTGCAAATAGCATAGAAGAAATTTCAGGTAAGTTTAGGTGCGGGAAAACAGAGGAATGTTTGTGTAAGTTAAGAAGTGTGGTGTGGAGGAAAGAGTAAAGTAGCTGTGTGTCCTCAGATCAGTCATTGAACCTTCCCAACCTTAATGTCTTCAGCTGGGGGGGATGGGTTTTAAACTAAGAAACTACCTATTTCACAGCCTTCTTATAGGATTCAAACAATAGGGTATTCAGTCTTCCATTTGCCTGTTCATTTAGCACACATTTATTTGTATCTATTTATGCTTGATAATGTGCTAAACACAGGGGAATAAAGATAAGATACAATTCCTACCCTCAAGAAACTCACCTTCAAGTTGGGGAAATAGCCATGGGACAATTCGAATAAGTGCAACCACAGAGATATGTCTTGGTAATAATCAGAGAAAGGGGCAACTGGGAATTGTGAAGAGAAAAAGGTGTGAAGGAAAGATTTTTAAACATGGCTGCTAGGGAAGACATGTAAGAAATTGAGCCAAAGTACCCCCATGGCTTCAGCAGGGTGTGAAGGGCGATGTCTGATGGGATTTCCTGACGCGGTTGAGTGTTGCTACCATGTTTTGGGAACGGCGTTTGAGAAACATCTGGGTGCATGTGAGGGTTATTCCCTCAGCTTGGGTCCATTTGGCTGGTTAAATAGAGATTTCTTCAAACTTTTCTTCAAGTATCCAAGTTATTCTGCCTTTCTGGGATCACTTGGGGAAGCAGGGGAGGGGTCAGCTCTGATGAGATCCTGTGTCCCCTCTGAAGGCTCTAGGGGAGAGCTATTCCCTGTTTCTTCAGCTTCTAGTGGCTCTGGGTGTTCCTTCTCATGAATGCCTAACTCCAATCTGCCTCTGTCTTCATGCGGACCTCTCATTTGTGTACTACTCTTGTAAGAATATTTGTCAGTATCATCCAAGATGATTTTATCTTGAGATCCTTAGCTTACTTACATATGCAAAGACACTTTTTACAAATAAGATCGCAGTCACAAGTTCTGGGGGATTAGTACATAGATGTATCTTTTAGGGGGGTACCATTCAACCCATTATTACAAAAGCTAAGAGGAGAGAGAGTTTCAACTCATCAGTGTTAAATGCTGCAGAGAGGTAAGGTAAACATCCATCAGATTTAGCAACTAGGAAGTTATTGATGATTTTATCAAAAGCAATTTCATTGAGGTAGCCAAATTGCAGGGGACTGAGAAATTTTTCTTTGAGAACTTTAAATGATAGGAGTGAGAGAGAGAGGTTTATAAATAAAGGGGGACCTGGGGTGAACATTCTTTTTCTTACTTTAAATTTCTTTTCAAGATGTAGGGTCTTGAAGCATGTTTACAATATGGGGGCAATGAACCAATCAATATAAAGGTTAAAGATAGAGAAACCATGGATCTTCAGCTTGAATATTCAAAATGGATTTTCTTTATTTATTGCTTCTAGTACTTTGATAGTCATGGATGGAGTTGGGGTTGAGAATAAGTTGAAGTTTTGGGTAGGCTTGGGGATAGGTATGTAGGATTGAACTGTTATAGTTCTTTACGTTAGGTACCTGATGTATTCGTGTTAGTGATAAGGTTAGATAAACTGGATCGAGTATCACCTGTGCATCAGCACGTTGTATTTATTATCTCATTAATTTTCCTTAACAAGCTTTGAGGATGGTTGATGATATTAGCTCCATATTACAGATGAGGAAACTGAGGTATGGAAAGGTTATGTAACTTGCCCAAGATCACACAGAAAGTGGTAAAAGTGGGAAAGAATGTGGGCCTTTAGCTCTAGAACTCATACTCAATAGCAGGTATTGGAATTCTTTCCCCCCTCAACTGTGCTGGGCTTGGCAGGTTAAAGGTTGATGCTTGGTGGCAATTGTCTGGGGTGCTTAGTTAGCTTAATCATACATGTAGGTTCCTCCTTCAAATTGTCATTTGGAGTGTTCTACAGTTATAGTTCGTCTTGACAATCATAGCGATGTTGAAATCTTGGAGGAAGGGAATATAGAGGAATTTTGGCAGATGACAGAACAAAGTGGGTATTAATGTGGGCTTTGGAGTCAGACAGTGTTGGGTTTGAATCCCATCCCCGCAACTTCCTAGATATGAGATCTTGGGGAATTTTGTAATGTTTGGGCCTCAGTTTCCTGATCTGTACAAATTGCTACAGTGCCACCTACTTCTCAGAATTTTTATTGGGATTCAATTGGATAATCTGTGTAAAGTTCTCAGTACAGTTCTGGCACATATTAAGTGCTCGATAGTTTCTTTTTTTTTTTGTTTTTGTTTTTTTTTAAAGATTTTATTTATTTATTCGACAGAGAGGGAGACATTGAGAGAGGGAACACAAGCAGGGGGAGTGGGAGAGGGAGAAGCAGGCTTCCCGCTGAGCAGGGAGCC